AATTTTCTTTCCTCCCAGTGCACCCACTCTTTCAATATATGTCTTGAAGGCACTTTGTTTTAAGAACTACAAAGTTGAGAGCCCGATCAACTCTTGGTCTTTTTCTTTTGATATTGAAGTAAGAAGAAATTGTTGTAACAAACAACATAAATGGAATGCTGGATAGAAGTACATCCAAAAGCGTAAGGATATTACAAAAAATGTTGTAAATTGAGAAAGTCAATCATAGCATCCGACTCCAACAAATATGCCCTTGTCTTGTTGCATCAAAAGCTAAACAAGGATGTACAATTGATTCCAGGTTTAGAAGAAAAATTAGTCAAGTCTTTCTTGTGTCAAGCAAAGAGGAAGTCTGTAGATCTTGTCATGAACCATCAAATATTCAGAATGTTAAGAATGAAATTCCATATTCGATGAGAGATTCTGCATGTACGAGGGAGCAAAATTAGGTAAAGACTGCGGGAGGAGACTCGGATCATTTCCTAGTGGAGATGGGGTTGCATAAGGGATCGACTCTCAGCTCATTTTTGTTTGCCCTAGCGTAGGATGTGCTGACGCGACACATACAAGAGGAGGTGCCATGGTGTATGCTATTTGCTGATGACATAGTTCAGATCGACGAGATGCGAGGCGGAGTTAACGCTAGGCTGGGAGTTTGGAGACAGACACTCGAGTCTAAAGGTTTCAAGTTGAGTTGGTCGAAAACAGAGTACTTGGAGTGCAAGTTCAGTGATGTGATGCACGAAGCAGAAATGGAAGTGAAGATAGATACTCAAGTCATCCCCGAAAGAGATAGTTTCAAGTATTTTGGGTCTATTATTCAAGGCAACAGGGAGATTGACGAGGATGTTACTCATCAAATTGGAGCGGGGTTGATGAAATGGAGACTCGCTTCGGGGGTTTTATGTGATAAGAATGTGTCACCTAGACTTAAGGGCAAGTTCTACAGAGTGGTGGTTAGACCGACTATGTTGTATGTGGCTGAGTGTTGGCCTGTCAAGAAGTCCCATGTCCAGAAGACGAAAGTAGCTGAAATGAGGATGTTGAGATAGATGCATGTACATACCAAGAAAGACAAGATTACGAATGAAGTTATTAGGGACAAGGTGGGAGTGGCCTCTGTGGAGGACAAGTTGCGGGAATCGGGGCTGAGATGGTTCGAGCATGTGAAGAGAGACAATATGGGCTTGGCCCGTTGGGCCAGCCCAACCCAACCTGTAATTTAGCAGGGCTGGGCTAGAATTTTTGAAGCCCATTTAAAAACGAGGCTTTTAAGCACGGCTTGAGTAAGCCCGTGGCTCGTGGGGCTCGAATGAGGCTGGGCTGGGCCGGCCCGTGGGGCTAATAAAAATATTTATTTAAAATATATAAAATATAAAACGTATACTGCTTCTAGCGATGGAAAGTCAGAATTGGATCTTTACTTAGAGGAACCAAAGCTTGATCTTGAGAAGTTTCAAGAGATTATTGGAAGGACCATTCTAGAAAATATCCGGATCTTTTAGTGATGGCGCGTGATGTACTTAGTATTCCTATTACCACTGTAGTATCGGAATCAACATTTAACATTGGTGGGCGTGTTCTGACAAAGTGTAGAAGTTGCATCCATCATGAAAATGTCCAAACACTTGTTACTACTCGAATTGGCTGCACGACTTTTTTCAAACTCAAACTGGTAATTCTTTTTTATGTGAATTTGAGTATTATTAGTTTTTTAATTTTTATTATTCTTAATATTTAACTAATTAATATAGCATATGAATCGTAGATGTAGATGAAAGTGAAGATGCTAAGACAACCTTGTTACAAGCGGATTCAAATGTGTTTGATGAAGATGATGTGTTAGATATCCATAAGCGTCATGGACATTCTCTTGAATAGTTTATTTTGAGTTCTGACTTTTAGGGAATGAAATATAGTCTTGTCTTTTACTTTTTTAGTGTTTATTGTGGTATATTGGAATAGTATAAAAGTTATTAAGTTTTGCGATTTTTTTCCAATAAGATATTTTTTAACTTTTAAATATTTATCTTTTTTTAGGTTAGAACTTTAAAAAATATGAAGTTATATTTTAAAAAATGATGGGCCGACCCATGGTGGCCCGTGACCCATATAGGGCTGGGGTGGGCTAACCATTATAAGGCCCATCAAAATGGTGGGCCAGCCCAACCCAGCTCGTCAATTGCTAAAGCCCATGCGGGCTGGGCTGGGCTAACCCGCCCCGACCCATATTGACAGCTCTAGTTTTCAGAATATATAGTCGTAAGCTAAGTTGCTCGGACTCAGGTGGGGTGTACGATACAGGTGCGGATCTAGAGATCTAATCCTTCATAATCTAAATTTAAGATTCGGGGATACATGTGTGAGGATTCGGCTAAAAATAATTCAATTATCAAAAAATAGAATTATAAAAGTATTGCCTAAACTACGAGACATATTAATACTATAAGAAATAACTTTTGCATAGTTATCTTTCATTTACTATATAATTTTGCATTGGAACTCTAATTCTCATAGAAATATATCTCTTGAAGACTTAGCAATGTGTCAAGCTTTCACTATATTGATTTGCTTATAGTGGAGAAAAAGTCCACGATTTTTTAATGGATAAACGCAAGTCTCATTTTTGAACTCTATACCCCTGAAATTTCCCCGATTCCCTTCATTGAATGCTCATGTGTCTCAAGTCCCTCTTTAAAGCTCTCTTCTTCTTCTCTCTCAAAAAAGAAAAAATAGGGAATGAAGAAGTATGAACTGCAAGATCCATTCAAGGCCTTCCCCAACGATGGCATACATCAGAGTTACTCTAACTTTTGTCTTGATTTCAGAAATCAAATTGTATCTTGTCTCGAATTCCTCCCTAGCTTTTGGTCAAAGTACCCAAAATTCATTGACCATATCCAGTACGGATTCCACACCTACACCAGCGCCGGTGACGTGTCGACACGGGTGCGACATCGAAACTGATGAGTCCGATCAACCTAGATTATGAGGATTGTGTAGAGGATTTAAGGAGAAGGTGCATCAGTTGCATGTAGTCTTCAAGAGAATGGTAAGGGGGATGAAAATATTACACATAAAATCAAAATAAGATGGTTGAAATAGAGAAGTGCTACCGGAGTTTTATGTGATAGAAGGATACCTTTCTCTTCTATGAAACGATTATAAGACCAGTATAACCCTGGAGTGAATGTTGGGCCGCTAAAGATATCAAACAAAATTAGTTTGGTGATATTGGTACGTGGTCATACAAAATTATGCAAGATTAAAAGTGATTACATTTGGTATAAGATGCAAGTGATGCACTTAAAGGATAAAATGAGCGAATATTGTTTGAGATGGATTTATACTGTGTCAACCTTCTATATAGGTGATACTAATTAGTTCAAAGTATGTTTTGGTCATGTTAGTGCATCTGCTTTAGGTCTTGTGTTTTCTAGAAGTCCTTTAATCTTGTCTGAAATTTATATGCCAGTAGAAAACATAAGGAACTTCTGGTACTTTTTATTTCTTTTTTCTATTTTATTTTGTATAATATTGGTTTGAGCTGAGCTGAAATAAAGCGATATGGTCAGTGATCATTCATATAACCAATCCCAATTTGTTCATGATTGAGGTGTAGTAGTACTAACTATTGTTATATGCATCATAGTTTGAAGGTTATCTTCCCTCAGTGGAAGCTACACTATAATTATAATACTTGTCCTTCAAAATCTCCCTTGTCAAAGGATCTGGATGGAGTAATTTCCTACTATATGTACAAGTAATCTATATATGTGCAGCTTTACTTGAGAACAAATATGTGCATCTCTTTTATTCACAAAACTTAAGAAGACATTATGCGTCTCTTTTATGCTTCTTTAGTTCATGCTATTACTTGATGCTCTGAGAGGAGCACTTGAGCCCCAACCATCATTTGCTTCCATTACTCTCTTTTCTTATGTGTTTACTTGCCAAGTAAGTTGGCGTGCTTGCAAATTGAAGCAGGTAATATGCATAAGAGAGTACGTACTAGTTAAGAGGGCAAAATTCTAGTTCTCAGATAATATTTCTTTTCGTGGATATCTCTTACGATTTTTGAAGCTCAAAATTGTTTGAGAGAGAATCAGGACTTGCTTATTTTTAATATTCTTGATTTGTTCTCGGTCTTGTTGATATTCTTATCAAATCTATTACGATGAAATAATGGCAGTTACAGCTGTTGGAAACGCCCTTGAAGCATGGAGGATTCTAGGAGATCTAGCTAACCATGTTGATCTTGTTCTGACGGAGGTGGCCATGCCATATTTGTCAGGCATTGGTCTTTTGTCAAAGATTACGAATCACAAAACTCGCAAGAATGTTCCGGTGATTAGTGAGTATCATTCCCACATATTTATTTTGCTTACTAATATTCAAATGTTGCTTAATATTTTGACAATATGATACTTTTAAGTGCTACACCTGATGAGTTTTGTGTGCAGTGATGTCTGCTAATGACTCTATGGGTATCGTCTTTAAGTGTTTGTCAAAGGGTGCGGTTGACTTTTTAGTGAAACCTATTCGAAAGAATGAGCTAAAAAATCTCTGGCAGCATGTTTGGAGGAAATGCCATAGTGTAAGTTTATGCAGTCATCTTCATTTGTAACTGGAACTTTACGGAATGCCCTCCTAAACCTCGGCACTGATCCTTGGTTTGGAAGCACCTTATTTGACTCCTCTTGAAACTGGAATTTTTTAACCTGTCATTCTTGTAGACCTCTTCTCTTCATGTTGTCTTAGAAAGACACTAGCAGGAAGTGCACATTGAGTAACCCATTTTGCATTGATTTCTCATCCTCTCCTCAGTCAAGTGGAAGCGGAAGTGAAAGTGGCATACAGACTCAGAAGTCTACGAAATCTAAAAGTGTTGAAGGATCGTTGAATAACACTGACAGCAATGATGAAGCTGAGAATGGGAGCTTTGATCTGGATGACCGGGACGGAAGCGACAATGGAAGTGGCACCCAGGTATTCTTTCTTCACGGCTATAGTTTGGCATGACTCTCTTCTATCAGTGGTCTCTTATGTCTCTTTGCATTTCCCCTATAGGAAAAGGAGGGGGACAACACAGTTTGTTCTTCTTTTCAAATAGTATCTTAAGTTGGAATAATTTAAGTAAAAGGAAGTTAATAATTTTTAGGTGTCAAAAATTTCGTTGAAATTTTGTCTTTCTCAAAATTCTGGGTATCTTGATGGCATGACCAATTCATTAATATATTGTATCATACAAATAGCAGCTTCAAAATCTTGGTAGTCATTGCTTCCGCACAATCCCACCCAGCAGGTTTTTTCAATAACTTGTTTCTCTCATGGCCAATAGGCTACTTTACCCCCTTCTCCTAGCAGCGCTTCCAGATTAATTTTTCTCTAATAGCCTACATAACATTCCTTATATGAAAGTGCTTTTAAGTGGTCATTTGCTTAATGAACATTTCTAGACTTAATGCGATAGATAAGCAAACAACAACAACAAGCCTAGTGAAATCCCACAAGTGGGCTCTGGGAAATTGTCCAGATATATTCTACTTATATAGAAGAGCGCAGAAGCAGCTCTCCGTCGACATCCCTTCTTGCCGACGGAGGGTAATTCTGACATTTCATGTGCAACTGTGCTTTAATCCTGTGGTGCTAAATTGCATTGTGTATTGTACGTTTCCTTATCCGGACAAAATAATCATAAAATTGCTGAACCACCGGGTCCCAGTAGCTGACACATTTGCAGCCTTTTAGCTGCTCTCTGACTATGTCGACCTCCTTTTCAGAAGTAACTTTAACAGTATAGTTACTTGTGTACATTACTATTATGAACGGTCAAAGACATTATGCTTGGAGGATCTGTTTATATAAGTTGTAATTATTATTGGAAAATTATCCATGAGACGTTCTTTATTTTTTTTCTGCGTGCAATTAATAGTGATGCTTAGGAATAGTATACAAGTAGCTAGCTTAAGACACATTACTAGACTTGTGAATATTCAGGAGTTTGCTTTAATTCAAGTTGATTTTTCTTTTTGTTTTTTGTTTTTGCAAGATTTGGAAAAAAAAATCAGAATTTTTTTTCAACCATTGCTCATTAATAACTAGAGAAAAGTTTTTCAGCACTGAGGGTTTGACTGGCTAATTTTTAGTATACTATTTTTTCAAACATATTTTAAATAATTTTATTTCTAAGATTGTAATTACTGATTAGTAGTACTAGATGTAATTTATTTTTAGATTCTTTTAAATGCTCCAAGAGTATTAAATGCTTGATACTTTTCGGTGATTTTACATGTACATTTGAGTATGTTTAGGCTACCATAACCATGCGCAGGGGCGGAGCTAGAGCTTCCGATGTGGGTTTGATCGAACCCACTTGCTTTGGTCCAAACTCTGTATTTGTCTTTAAGTCATTGAATATATACAAATTATTAATTTAGAACTTAATAACTCAGAAGGAATAAAATTCCGAAGCCACTAATTTTAAATTATGGCTCCGCCTCTGATGCGGGTCTACTTAAGCTCTTCCTTGAATGACTACACCAATTATGTAATGTTAAAATCAACTATATATGAATTAAATCAATAACTAAATTGGTAATTGATTTAAAGCTTAGTACGTTAAACTACTAATTAAACTCATAAAATTATAAGGATTAATAGATTAGAAAAAATTATAGTAATAATATGTGAACCAAATAAACTCATAAAAATATAAGGATTAATCGGTTAGAAAAAATTATTGTAAAGTTAATTGAGAAACTAATTTAAAGTTGAAAAACCTAAATCTTAGAACTTTTATATACTTAAATGCCTTCAAATTGGATGCCATGTCACACAAACGATTGTACTGTCTCACATTGTACTTATCTTATATATGAATAATAGCAGCAGACAAATCTATTTCCATATCTGGCAATTTCTTATATATAGCTCACCCTTTTCTATTTATGTTTGTGGGGAGACAGATTTTTTATTTTTAACTCATTCATCTCATTATTCATTAGAAAATTTAAATTGTTATTAAATCATCTTGTAATACCTTTTACTATGGTTAACTTCGGTAATTTCAGTTCTAAAAAGCTCTTAATATAGCGACTGTATCAAATACTATTTGGGTCAGTAAAATACATGCACAATGTTTTATGAGGTAGTTTGGTAAAGTCAGTTGAAAAAAGACATATTTTTATATCTGCAATGATAAAACACTGAACTTCTTATGTATTGCAAGTGCTCCTGCTTGGGAAATGTTAACCGATCTTACAAGTGATTCTTGCCTTCATCACAGAGCAGTACTTTTTAAGCAAGACTTACCATGGTATTCATTACGCTCAAACAATATTTATCAAAATAAAACACGCTCTAATCCAAAGTGTTGGGCCCGGGCAAGCCCGGGCCGATCCCATCTAGTACATTTATATATATATGATTGCCCTAATAATTTTTCCGAGATTGCCCTAGTACTTCTAAATAGCTCTGTAGAATGATATGGTCAGCCAATTTATGCTGGCGTAGTTACTGAAATCTCTGGCATGATTGTTTTGGATTGTTTCTGGTTATATAGAAAAGCGATCATATATAGTTCATCAAAGTTGTCAAAGTTGTCAGCTTTATTGAACTTGTGACTTAGGTCACATGTTCAAGCCCTGCACCATGCGAACTAAGCTTGGTATTTAAGTGGAGAAGGGTAGAGGGGCCATTTCCTCTGAGATTCAAAGGCTGCAGTTTTAAAAATCATAGAAAAAATCAGTTTTATTGAGATATTAGCTCAGCCTAAGAGTGATTGTGACTAATGAAAATGACTAAATCAGAAAAAAAATGGATTGGCTCATGCATAATCCAAATCAAGCACGGTCTTGATCTCTAAGATTCCCTTTTTCTTTGAGGAAAAAACTATAGGGTATCTGACAGTTACCTCCAATCTAGTTTAAGTAATTGCACTACCACTTATTCTTGTTCTGAATTTGCATAGATTCCCACCTCTATCTGCGTTATAAGTTTGACCAAGAAAGGCTGATTCTATCCCTTTATCTTTTACTTATTGTGTTGCGCATGTGAACCTTTCCTTCAATTTGATAGAACTTGTACTTACCTATTACGATATCCCCTTAAAAGATATGCTTAATAAAATGTTCCTATTATACTATAGTTATAATGAATTGAAAGATTAAAAATCTTTTCACATTTTATGATAAAACTAATAATTCATTTATGTGTTGCGTAGAAACCTCAGCATGTAGATACCTATAAAAGCAGTGGTATCAAAGATGCACCGCTTAAGCTTTGAAGAAGTCTTGCAGGCTTCATGATTCGCATCACTTAAGCGAATGCACTAAGGTGTTGGGCGGTGCATCTTGACAAAAAATGGCCAGTCAACTCTTTTAAGTGGATTAATTGTAAGATTCAGCCTCTCTATCTTGAAAAAGCCTAAGAGGTGGTAGTGAAAAGGTTAATTCCTTTGTTGGTGGGAGGTATCATGGGGAATTAGTCGAGGTACGCGCAAACTGGTCCGGACACTACGGTTATCAAAAAAACAAGAAAAAAGAAGAAAAGGTTAATTCCTAGATAGCCACTCAAACTTGCCATGATTTGTAAGTTAGACACTCCAACTAACTGGATTTACACCTCTACTTGGCATATATGTGCCCCTTGAATACAAGTGTCTGGCATGGCAAAGTGTGTGCGTGAAAGCTATGTAGCGCGGACTCTTCATTTTTGACGTTGAACCCGTCTCGATACGACACTGGGACGGGTGCAAGATACGTTTGGGATTCGGTCAACCAACTTCAGATATTTTAACCGGAGTCGATGGACAAATTTTTTTTTGGGGGGGGGGGGGTGGTGATTGAGATTTTGATTTCTCAAAATAAAAGATAAAAGACTTTTAAGACATGAGAAATGGCATACCTTCAATATTATAGCCCTTTTATCTCATATTCACTACTTCATGTTTCAGGTCAAACGAAGAGAAACCAAGAAGTCAAAGGGTTGTGTTCTAAGTTTCTGACTTCTGGTAGACAGTAGCTCAAAATTTAGAATATCTTTATAGCTCTATTTTTATAATTTCGAATTTTCTTAGCCGAATCGCAGCACCCGAATCCATACCTAGATCCGCACCCCCGAATCTTAAAATTTTGATTTTCCTGAATCCGACTCTCTGATCCGTACCCGTATCCGATACCTGCACCCGAGTCCAAGCAACTTAGCGTGAAAGTCCATTTGAGCTCGTGAGATTCTTTTAAAACTAGTTGACATATGGAAATAACCCCCTATTTACCCTTATTTTTGATTTTGTATACCTATGTTTCAGTTTATATCTGAAAACAATCCCACGATTTTGATATCTCCTTCCATCTACGGCTCTCTGAAAAAATGGCCATTCCGACCTAGACTAATAAAAAATGGTAGTTGTCGTCGAGCTTCTCCGATTGTGCAAATAACTTCCTCCTTTCATAATTTATCCGACACTACTTTTACCGTACACCAACAACAACAACAAAAGTGAGAAGAAGAAGAAGAAGAAGTAGAAAGTCAAGGAGTTTTGACAGAACCCAACACAACAACATCGAATTTCAAGCTTAAAACCGAAACCAGAACTAGAAAATCACTTTAGATTCATACAGGAAGACATATAGAAATCTCAAAGACATCAATTTCAAACTTAAAGTTGAAACCCAGATCTAAATGAAGGAAGAAGGAATTGCTCGCTAATTTCTGCCTGATTCTTGCGGTGGGTTGCATCGGAAAGATGCTCCGCCAAAGAGTTGTTTAGCGTCTTTCAACTTTATTCTGCTGCTGACATCATTTTTCATCGGAGAAACAAAAGAGGGATATGGTGGTGAGGAGTAGAGGATGATTATATGAGAAGAAATGATGAAAAAGAAGAAGGTGGATGGCCTAGCGGTGGGGAAAGGGAGGGGACTTATGGGCGTGGGTAATAGGTTTTGTCTTTGTCTCTCTCTCTTTTTATTTTTATTTTTTTGATGACCGAGAAATCCGTCTGGGGCCGATCCTTTGGACCAACCGCAGCCTTCGAAACTCGGTGGATAATGGGCCCGCCCCTCTACCCTTCTCCACTTAAATACTAGGCTTTGCTTTGCATGGTGTGGGGGCTTGAACTTGTGACCTAAGACATGTCTCTCTCTCTTTTTCTTAGTTACACTTCTTATTTTTTCTTTCAAATTACACGTGTCGTCAAGTAATTAGTTCGGTTGCCGTGTCAGTCAGTAGCAAGTGTTTTTCATGCATTTGGTCTTATAGACACGGGCACCTTTGTCAAGGTAAAGGTGGTTAAATGGTCACTAGGAAATTTAAGATGTCTAACTTACAAATCATGCCAAGTTTGAGTAGCAATCAAGGAATTTAGCTTATTGAAAATTACACAGCTAATAAAACAAAGCATTAATCGTTAGGCAAATTTTATGGGTGAAAATGCTAGTATTAGGAATATAAAATTAGAAATTTAGCATTGGACAACTAAATATTAAAATTTAAATTAGAAACTTAGAATCACATTTGCATATAAATAAAAATCACCGAAAAAATCTTTGTTTGGCTAAATGAGGAATATATTCATTGTTGGTTCAATTTGGGACAACCCAAAATTGACTCATCCAAATCATTGGGTTAACTTGGGTGCCTAATACGTCAAAATCGATCAATAAGAAAACTTTGTCAACTAATAGAAGTTAAATTTATTTGGTTAGTTAGGGGTATTTTTGTCAACGTGTCCACTTACTTTTACTCTATAAACATAAGAAAAACATTTGTTTTGGTGTGCTTGTATCTCTCTGTTCACACACTTTCTCTCGTTGTAATGGTTTTGACTTGGGTGGTTGGTTAGTTTTGACCCATTGTTTAGTCGAAATTGACCCAACCTATCTTTGACTCGAGTAAACTTTTAGCTTGGATCATGACGCATTCGTTGTCTAACTTTAAGCCTTTAACCCACCAAATTTAGTTTGACCTGCCTATTTGACACACAGACCATGAACAAGATAATTCATTTTGCATATTTATGGGCATCAGAAATTGAATAGTGCGGTCATGTGTGTAAATTCTGCCTAAGTTATTGTAGCAAACTCCGGAATCGTAAACTCCCAACATCCCAGATCCAACTTCTGATGTTAGGAATGCAAATAGGGTTTGCAGTAGCTTTCGTCCATTATAAATCTTCTTATTATTATTCCTTTTTTTAGCAGAGTTCGTGGTCCAAAAGGGCCATAGAAGTTGACAGCCCTCAACCCATGTCACCATGGAATGAATTGGCCGATCCCCCTGATAGCACTTGTGCCCAGGTTGTCCATTCAAGGCCAGAAGCACTTAGTGCTACCCGGGTGTCTGCAACTGCCCCCAGAGAGTGCCGCAATGAGAAGGATGAACTTGGTAGGTGTGGCTCTTCCAAGCCCCATGGGAATAACGAAAAATCTCAGATCAAATTTTTTTTATGCTGTTTACTTTTGCTATTGCATTTATCATTTAATCCATTATATATATCGATGTTGTGGCTTACATCTCAGGAAATGCTAGAATGGGTAAAGATTTGAACATAGGTGTCACTAATGTTCCAGAGCTTGAAGGCCGATCAGGTAAAGCTATGGATGATTTAGCAGCTCCTATGATGGACAAACATTTGGAATTAGATCCCAAGGATAGTGAGAAAATGGTTAGAAACCTCAAGCACAACAAGGAAACACGGGAAGATGACCTGAAAGACATGGATGTTGGTTATAGGGGTGATCACACCAAAACCGGTTCTCCTCTAGTAGATAGTATGGCCAATGAAGTTCCGAAAGATCCTTCCAAGATCACAAACATCAAAGAAATAGCCACGTATGACAGTAAAGACATGCCTTCTCTTGAACTTAGTTTGAAGCAGCTTCGAGATGTTGGAGAAACTGGGACCAGTGTGCAAGAGCGCAATATACTCAGGCATTCAGACCTTTCAGCATTCTCTAGGCATGTGATTCAACTGTTACTATAACTCAATACCTTAAGAAACTACAGTTGCTAATTGAATCTCTTCACATGCAGGTATAATGCTGCTTCAAATGCTAATCAGGCTCCAACTGGGAATGTGGGCAGCTGTTCACCAGTTAATAATAGCTCAGAAGTTGCAAAAACAGAATCACTGCATAACTTGCGATCGAAGTCAAGCAGTACCCCTAACCAGCGCTCAAATGGAAGTAGTAACAACAATGACATGGGCTCCTCAACAAATAATTTCTTTGTCAAACAAGAAACATTAACTGACAAGCCAATAACCAAACCTGCAGTCAATGCCCATACCTGTTCCGCATTTCAACCAGTGCAACATGGTCATAATTCTTCTCTTCAACCTATGGTTCCAGGAAAACAAGATGCTGCAAAGGCAGCCCTGGCCCAAGCAAGGGCGATGCAGCAGCAGGTCCAAGTTCAGCACCACCATCATCACTACCATCACCATCACCACCATGTACTTGACCTGAAGCAGCAACAACAGCTGCTTGACACTGATGATTCGTCCATGAGAAATGCTGTTGGAGCTGCTCCAAATTTCGGAACACCTGACATGGTAGGAACTCCTGTTGAAGGAAACGCTGCTAATTATGGAAGTGCATCAGGAAGTAACAATGGAAGCAATGGGCAAAATGGAAGCAGTGGCCAAAATGGTAGCAGCACTGCTCTAATTGCTGAAGGAACAAATTTGGTTGCTGAAAATGAAGCGGGTGAAAAATGTGAAATTGGCAGCATGAGTGGAAGTGCAAGCAGAAGTGATCATTCGGCTCAAAGAGTGGCTGCTTTGATTAAATTCCGGCAAAAGAGGAAGGAGAGGTGCTTTGAGAAAAAGGTAATTGTGACTGGATTATTTCTATGATTGCAATACATAATTGAAGTCCTGCTTAGATCTAACCAGATTCTGTAGTTTGTCGAAATCCCATTTAAGCTTTCTTTTTATGCCTTTCAGCATACCTATTCTCATTACTTTTTTCCTTATTTTTCCTTTTTATCATAGTACATGCTTGCATTCAAAAAATTTCACATGAAGTCAATGATGCAACTTTGCCTGCTAATATCTAATCAGTGAAATGATAAGCTTTTTACAATTTAAACTTTGATTCAAACTGTGTAGCATTTCTTGGTTTTGAAGCAATTGAACAGTCAATAAATGACAGCAAACTTAGCTGGATTATCTTTCCATATATTTTAGGTCCGGTACCAAAGTAGAAAGAGACTCGCAGAACAGAGACCACGTGTGCGAGGGCAATTTGTGCGTCAGGATGCAGACAAAAATAAAAGCATTGATGATTCCTGACCCCTGCCGTTATGCTTAGATGGTACATGTGAAAATGAGTTGAAGAAGCCTAGTTTTGATCGCCAAAGGTATGGAGGAAGCAGTTTGGTTCCAAAGCTAAAATTTATTTAGTTGAGGTATTGCTGTCTTGTAATAATTGCTTATTGGAGATCAAATTAATTGGGGAGTCCTATGAAGACATCTTTGTTATATAGTCGGTTTGAAGATACTTATATTTGGACTTGTAGATGTTGGGATACCCTAATAAAATGCTTCAATGTGCTGTGCTTTCTGGTGTGCTCAAAACTGCTTTTCCAAGTCCCTCGTGTATTGTTTGTGTTTCATTTTCATATTACTTTTATCCGCATCTCATTTTATACTCGAGGAAGTTTAGTTCTTTGAAACAGTTTACTTTAGTTTCTGTAGGGTTCCACACAAAACTGAAGTCCTATTTCCTCTGAATTAACTCTTGTTCGAAGGGCAACTCACTAGGAGGGAAGTAGGTTTTTGGTTTGTTTTCTTAATTATCTTTTGGCTTTTCTTGATTGTTAGTACATAATTACTGAATCCTATATGGGGAGGAAGGTTAAGATGCCCAGAACCTCACCTGTTAGCAAAATAATGTGCTATCACTAGGGGATAAAGTTCTGTGGCTGTTTATTCTCAAGTTTTTCACTCTTTGGCATCATAAAATGAAGTGTAATATGGACAGTAAAACACTGGTAGTGAAACAATGGAAGAAAACATTTCTGAGGAAATATTATATTTCCAAGTTTTAGAGTTACCTCTCAGATTTGATAGGCCACCAGCTGAAAGCAGCATTGACATCCATCCCTAACAGGAAAGCGTACGGTCTATAGAAAAAATAATACAAGTTTGAATTAATTTAATTTAATAAAAGGAAACTTTATGCTACAGCACAAAATATAAGAGTCCATTAATCAAATGGTCACTCAACTATGTCAAATTATCCTAAAGCCACTTTCCTTTCATTTGTAACAACAAAGTCACTGAACTATGCCTATTGCACAACTAGATTTTTTAAATTTTGTAGTGTCAAATACCTATTTTACCCTCTAAATTGTAAACATTTATCTTCTTTTATTTTTTAAACTTTTTTAATATCATGATTTTTTCCTTTTTAATTTATATTATGGACCTATAGAATAAATAAATATTATTTATAAATTAAAAACATAAAAAGTATTTAAGCATATATAATACCGGAATAACAAAATAATGAGCATAGGAAAAAAATTATATAGAATAATTTATTAGTAATAATAATTTTAGTATTAACAACAAAACTTCAAAAAATTATTTACACAATTCAGAATGAAAGAAAATAAAGATTGTAAAATATATATTCTATGCACGTAATATAAAAATAATTATTTAAATAAAGGTATTTTTCTAATATACATTATATATTCTTGAAAATTATGGTCAATTATATTATTATGTTTCTACCAACTTTCCGACAACATAAAGTTATATCACCGGAAAGTAGGGGGACTATCTGTATAGGGTAAAATATGCTATGTTAAGTCGTGCATGGAATATATATAATATAATTGAGCATAATTTTCAANCCAGATTTTCCTTCTAATTTCATAAGTAAAGAGACAATTGCTTCAATTCAAATTAAATATTAAGCAAATTAATACAAAATATTTCAAAAAAAATAAAATAAAAGAAGATAATTATTTATAATTTAGAGGGTAAAATAGGTATTTGGCAATCCAAAATTTAGAAAATCTAGTTGAGTGACCTTCTGAGTGCAATAGGCATAGTTCAATGACTTTGTTGTTAAAAACGAAAGAAAAATGATTTTCGGAGAGAATTTGGGACAGTTGAATGACCATTTGAGTAATTGACTCAAAAATATAAGGTATAAGAAAGTTTGGCTATTGTTGAAATCTTTTGGCATTCTTTCTTCCATACCAAAAATCAAGTTTTGCCAGAAGAATCTCCTGATTGTTAAGAACCCAAACAACAATTTCAAGGAAATCTACCAAATTTTGTTATTCCAGATCCTGGCCAGAAAAGTTGTGCTTTCTTGATTTGGTTAAAACCTGTGCTACACAAACTGACGTAGTATTTGAGTACATATATATCTTCTATTCTATATATACAAACCCTCCTATTGGCCAACACCTGTTAAAAGGCATATGCATAATCCAATATTCTAAATTTAACATTATTGGATGATTAACATTCTACTTATCTTATGGTAGTGCAAGAAACTTTAATAAAAGGAAAAGAAGTAATCCCGTTAATTTGTTTTTTTTTTTTTTTATAATAAAGGAAAAATAATACATCTTAATCTGCAAAAAAGATTACATATGCCCTAATAGTAATAGAAGCCCCCTCTTCTAGAGTCATGAAACTAGGATGGGTGACAATACTATTTACTACTCTCTTCGTCCCAATTTATGTAAAGTCAAATGAAATTTTCTTTGGCCGTGAATTTTTCATATGCCTTTTAATATTTTGAATAATTAATTGTTGTGATTTTTAGTACTTTTACGTAGTTTCCAAATATATAAATTTTGCTTCAAAAAACTTAAAGATTCTATGCAAATTCATCATCAATAGTAAGAAGTTTGACTTTCGAAATTCGAGCTCCGTCACAAATATTGGGACAGAGAGAGTAGTATTATGAGTGAGTTGATCTCTAATTTGACTTAATTCTAGAAAGAGAGATCAAATGCATGCCCTTCATTACTTTTTTCAGTGTTTATCCTAGCTAGCCTTTGTAATTTTTACATGAACATAGCATCACATACTTAGCTTGTGGCTCAAAGACATAATTAAGCATATGAAAAGAAATTGATGCATTGACGTACCTTACCCCAAGAAAAAATCAATAACATTCTGGCTTTTCTCAGTTTATCAGTGAAGGAAAACTAAATGTATTTCTCCCTTATATTCTATCCCTTGTTCCTTTGAGATTATGGTCAAGATCTGCTATTAACAAACAGTTTAAACGTGTCCTATGAAATAGGGGAGCAAAAGTAGCATCACATTATAAATATGTTCTATTTTTTAGGGAACAAATACTGTCACATGGCAAATTCTAAGGAATTAAGCTACAGGCATTTGAACAATTCATATAGAGACTAAAATGTCGCGCACGCGGTTAAAACGATTAGAAGCATTGTTCAATGGTGATGTAAATGCAATATTTAAAAGCAGTGAAATGTTGTTCGATTATTATATCCTTTAATAATAAATTTTATATTGGATAAAATTATAATTTTAGTTACTTTCCAAATAATTAGGACTTTAAAATCAACTAAAATTTGACTTATAAATTTTTCCTTATTTAAAATACCTAGGAAGTCCCAGGATTTTAATACATTTAGATTTTGCCTCAATCTTTTTTTTATTTGAACCATAAATAAAATAAAAAATATTAGGAAAAGAATTATATACACCATGGAACGGGTACTCCCCTTGCACGAACAATAAAGGGCTAAAGTATTACGATTAGGGGTGTACAAATGAAACCGACAAACCGTACCAATCCGATAATTCGAGTCAACCCGAAAAAAGAATCCTACTATGGTTTGGTTTGATTTGGTTTGGTGTTGGAAAAAAAAAAGTCCGACCATATTTGGTTTGGTTTGGTTTGGTTTTAACTAAAAAAAGTAAAACCGAAACCAAACCAACCCGACATTATATGTATAGAAGTTTTAAATATATTTAATACATAAAAAATTTATTGTAGTGTAATTTATAAATATTTCTTAAGTTTTTTCATAGTTTTATCTTTTCACGTATTATTTCAAGCTTGGATTTATAATTTTTGGATGCTCCAATAAGTTTTATAGTTCATAAATGTTAGTAACTCAAATAAATCCTAAACCAATATCAAATCAATGCTAATGTTAATAAAAAACATTCAATTCAATTGTACTATGAATGAAAATAGTATTGGATATTTCTTTGTTTTAGTTTTTTCGTGGTTTAGATAAAATGCATAACTTATTTTTCTTTTAGTGTTTAGTCATGTAAATAATAGTACTTATTAGTCGTACTTATTTTAGTAACTTATTAGTAATTTTAGATTATGTTTATTTTCATTATGGCTTATTAATAATACTTATTTTATTCGATTTCATTATCTTTATTGTTGAATATTTTAGAACAATGCCATGACTCATCCCATATTTATGTTATTTTATTGAAAAACACCTTATATAGTTCTATCTTACTAGAATTAAAGAAATATTTGGAGCACAAATTCTATACTTTATGCTATAAAGACTTTATGGGAAAAAACCTCGAAAAAACCTGAAAATCCGAAAAATCCGAGAAAAATCGAGATTAAAAAATCCGAATTTTATTGGTTTGGTTTGGTCTTTAGATTTAATAACCCGGTAGAATTGGTTTGGTTTGGTAATTAGAAAATTACACCCCTAATTACGACAACATATTAGCATATAAGCCATTGATTATCGGAACATGCAATCAAGTTAATAGATTGTGCCTTTTCTAAACCATATAGCCTCAACGATGATGAATATACGTTTTTTTGTGAATTTTGGTCTGTTTGACCTACAATTTTGTTTATTAAATTCTCGCTTCTATTGTGAAAAGAATTTTCTTATTTAAACGGTATAGAAAATCTTCTTAGTATTTAAGATTTTATCTTATATTATTATAATCACTATCTTTCAACTTGTATTTCACCAAACTGTATTGTGATCGTCGAGTAGACTAATTTGCTTCTTATATAATTTAACCAAATTATTTTTTTCAATTTCGTTAAATGACCATAATTTCCTTTTGAAATATTGAAAAGAAAAACCTTCAGACCCTCCAAGATTGTCACATGAATTTTTACTTTTATATTATAACTTGAATATAATTTTTTTTTAAATATTTACTTATTGAGATAGACGCGCATCGCACGTATATTAAAAGCACAAATGCCATTAGCGAATTATTGTCCGTCCTTATTATCCTTTTAAAACAATGTTAACACATAAAAAAATAGTCATTTAATATTTTCCTAATATTTAGCACTTTAAATTCAACTAAAACTCACTTATTAAAGTTTCCCTTATTTGAACGACTACATAGGGAATCCTAATATTTAGGAAATCAAAATCAATTAAGTTTACCTTATATAATTCAAATAATATATTTATATTTTTTTCGTATTCTACGTACATAAAAATTAGGATGTACATTTGATAATGTATTTCGAAGCTCTATTCGTTGTAGTACACTTTCTCCAAATAAAACATTTAAACGATACATCAATTTATATAATTATTTACTTGAAAATATACTTATGTCATTAAGTGTAGTTCATATTTTTACTATCTATAACTTTAAGCCATTCTAACCATTTAAAAATCATGAGTACCATGAAGAACTTAAGACTCAAGTTTTAAAATAATGTGGGACAATTATTTGGAAAAATAATGAAAAACATAATTATAGAGCTCATTGTAGTTGAAAAATAGGTAAAATACTCTTAACGTAATCATTGGATAAAATTATTTAACTTTGAGCTTGTTAGTCTAAGTTCAAGACCAAGTGTCCTTAACTTTGAACTTGTAACTGTAAGTTTGGGACCAAGTGTCCTTAACTTTTGAGCTTGTTAGTCTAAGTTCAGGACTTCAGGACCTATTGTCCTTAACTTTTGAACTTGTAACTGTAAGTTTAGGACCTATTGTCCTTAACTTTTGAGCTTGTTAGTCTAAGTTCAGGACCAAGTGTCCTTAACTTTTGAACTTGTAATTCTAAGTTCAGGACCAAGTGTCCTTAACTTTTGAACTTGGAACTCGAAATTCAGGACCTAGTGTCCTTAACTTTTGAACTTGTAACTATAAGTTCAGGATCCATAACGTAGCAGAAAACCAGTGGTAACACAGTACTAGAGATTCTGTTCTCTACTAGATTGGGAGATTATTCCATGGTTTCCTCTCTTTCTATCTAGTTTCATGAATATTTCATTACTTCCCCCATTTTAATTATTTTCCTCTTAAGTTGTGGTGTGGACAAAAATATTGGCAAGTTTGTCATTCTCAGATTTATTTTCCTCCATCTTTTAATCGACTCCACTCCATTACAGGTAGAAATTCTGATAATGGTCATGACGCAGAGAATTGGAATATACTGACAAAAATATATTGCCACTTATGGATCTATAATTGTCTTACTATTTATTGGTTGTATTAACAATAAACGTTATGTTACTTGCAATAAGTTAGTGTCATCTCACAGACGGCGACTCCCAGTTCTTCTCCCTAATATGAAAGAGATAGAAGAAAGGGTAACACAGTCTTTCCATATTAATTTTAATAGAGTAGTGGCTACTATTGCTAGGCATTGAAAATGCTGGATAAAAAGTAAATATCACTTTAAAAAGTGGCTACCCCACACAATTTTTACGGTAAAAATTCCTTATTTTTTTCTGGGGATTTTTTCATTCCTATACACTATTGGAAACTTTATTACCCTAAATGTTCATTTTTAATAAATCAACCTACCTACACAAGTTTTGTTTACAAAATATATACATTCCACCTTAAAAGGTTTTCAATCCATTATTAGTGCCTTCAATTAAGGGATTTAGTTACACCATTTTCCTTTTTTTTTCTCCTCTTTCCCCTTTCTCTCCAGATCTTCCACCCCTTTCACAAGCGGCAATTCACATATGGCAATTCCCAAACACTGATTTTATCTAAGGAATATATATGTACCAGATTTTTTGCATCTGTTCTATCCGCATTTTAGCTACTGTGTAATTCTTCTCATTCCTCTTAATACACTATCATTTTGGTATATCGCTTGCAAAAATTATTTCTCTACCACGTCTGGTAATTATCTTCATAGTAGGGATGAGGAATACTATCATTTTATGGAGCTAATCAGCTTATTTGGATCTGGATTTGGAAGTTAAAATGTGCTCCGGGCTTAAAACTTTTTTTCTGATTAATATGGCCTGATATGTTGTTAACTAATGCTCAAAGAGCCAAAGAATTTAACGCTCATAGAATAGTTATAACTTATAAAATCAACAATATTGTAAGTGATGGAAGTGAATGTTGGGTCGTTAAAATCCAGCACATCCACAAGATCAGTATCAAGGAGATGTTGATATCTAATGGATGTGTGGTTATACAAGATTAGACAAGATTAAAAATAATTACTGCTCAGGATACGATTAAAGGAGTATNAAGATTCGGGATCAACTTCATCAACAAATCTCAGAAACTCAAAAAGGAAAAGTACAACGTGAACTTGAAAACCTACAATCTTTAACATCTGTGTGCAACATTGAAGATACTTGGACTCGAGAGATAATTATGAATTCTTAACCAAACAGCACGTGTCTCAAGAGAGGTCCAATTCATACACATCCAAACATAACCTCAGTTGTGTGTGCAATTGCCATTAATATTGGGGAGCAAGAGACATGAATAGGAACAATGTATCCATTGCTATTTTGATGTTATCAAAATATTTTTCCACCAAGAAGCAACACAAAACAATAGCAATTGCAGCTCAAGATTAAGAAAAGTATGCATCCTTACCTATTTTTCCCAGCTCATTGTCCGGAAAAGAACCATCAGCAATTGAGTTTCTCTTTTCTGCAATTCACAAATATAAATTCATGACTTGCAATTGAAAATAAGAATATCTGGCTAAAGGACAACAAATGAAAATATTACCAAAGAAAGAAAACAAGGGATGATGAGACATATAAGCTGCTATATCCAGTGTGTCTTCAGTTCTTTTCTTGTTCTTCTTCGAGTTTCAATCTGAAATTCAGCCAAAACCAAGTCTAATCTTCACTAAAACCCCTCAAAATTGAGATATAAACTCCAAACCATATTCCCAATTATTTGCAACAATGCTCAATCCAAACAAATAATGATTTTTGAAAACCCAA